GATTGGGCTGATTACTCCACCTCAGGAACGCAGAGCCGGGCCTGGCACACACGCAGGCCTCAATTACGGAGCAGCATCAGGCGGGCGTGAGCTCAGCCCTGAGTGGCTGCGCATGTGCCTGTGGCGTCCCGCAGGAATCTGGGCCAGGAAGCCCCAGAAGCATAGGAGGTTATGTAGGACAGCCCGGAAGCAGGCCGGGGAGGGGGGCCTCTCTTTCCTCATCTGTGAAATGGGAAGAGCAACCGCACCCCGGCACCCCGCAGGGCATGGGGCGCAGCGGGTGGCCGCAGCTCCACGCAGCTTTGCTACTACCTTTCCTTTGTCCACAAAGCGTAGGTAAGAGTGGGCCCCCCGCCCCGCCCTTCTCTGTTGCTGGAGGAGGGTCTGAACTGGGAAGCACCTGGAACAGCCCCCGGTGCCCAGAGCACACTCACTTGGAGGCTGCACACTCACTGGAGCTCCGCGCCTGTGCCTGCGCCTGCCTGGGCCAGGTGTGGGCTGTGGCCCCGGGCAGGATGTGGCCATGGGCATCTGGCCCTACAGGTTCCTCATCACCCCACTTCCTCCGCACCCCGACCTCTTGCCCCCACCGTCGCCCCATCCCTCACTCCCAAATCCCCAGGACCTCTGTGTGTGTGTGTGTGTGGGGTGTTGGCAGCCACGCCTCCTGCTCCGGCCCTGGGGAAGGGGTGCAGACACCCCCCAAAACCCAGGGTGGGGGTGGGGTGGGGAGGGTTTACTGCTCCCCTCTCTGCTGCTGTCCCAGGGCCTCCTTGGGGCCCCCCATCTCTGTGCCTTCACTCCTGGGCCTCTGAGTGTCTCTCTGCCTCCACTCGGTTTCCAGAGCAGGAAATGTCAGGGTCCCCAGGGTGTGTCCCAGAGGAGGGCAGGCAGAGGCAGGGCCTCCCCCCACCTCCCACCCCCTGGATGAGAGTGGAGGTGAGGGCAAGAGGCGGTCTTCCTTAATTAACCTCTTAATCCTGCCACAGTGGGTCTTTTTTTTTAAATTTTATTTATTTATTCATGAGAGACCCAGAGAGAGAGAGAGAGAGAGAGGCAGAGACACAGGCAGAGGGAGAAGCAGGCTCCATGCAGGGAGCTGAGGTGGGACTCGATCCGGGTCTCCAGGATCAGGCCCTGGACTGAAGCGACACTAAACTGCTGAGCCCCCGGGCTGCCCCACGCTGGGTCTTAATGGGGGGGGGGGCTCATGTGAGGGTCCGGAGCGCTGGCATTAGCTCCTTAGTCACATACTCCCCCCCATGCCTGGGCCCTCAGCTCGCCCCGGAGAAACTGAGGCAGGAGGCTTGGGAAACCGGAGGGGCGGGGGGCCCGGACTCCTGGGTCCTGGAGGAGACACCCCCCCACCAGCCTCCTGGTCTGAGGGCGCAGGGAGCTGGGAGCTGGAGTCCCGGGTGCGCCCCGGGCCAGAGCCCTCCCCGACCACGCCCGCGCCCCGCCCCCGCCTCCAGTTAACCCCGAGCCCGCGGAGGAGCCGCGACAGTCGCCGGAGCGCGCGGATGGAGGAGGAGCGCGACCCACTCGCGTCCGGCGGCGGGATGGAGGCCGAGGAGCCCGCGGCCCCCGGGGAGCCGCCGTCGCCGCCCCCGCCGCCGTCGCCGCCGTCCCCCGCGGCCCCCGAGCCCCCCGGGACCCCCGGGACCCCCGAGCCCGAGCGGCCGTCGGAGGCCTACGCCCGGCAGGTGCTGCTGGAGGAGTGGCGGCCGCGGGGCGGGAGCCTGGAGCTGCCCCCGCGCCTCACCTGGCAGCTGCTCTTCCTGCGGCGGCCGCTCTACCGCAACCTGCTGCGCTCGCCCAACCCCGAAGGTGCGGGAGGGCGCGGGGGTGCGGGGAAGGCGCGGGAAGGTGTCGGAGCGCGCGGGAAGGTGCGGGAGGGCGCGGGGCGTCACCCTGACACCGCCCCCCCCCCCCCCCCCCCGCCGCCGCCCGGGTCTCCGACCTCTGCCGCCTGCGGTTCACTTGGACCGTCAGTCTCCTCATCTTTCCGTCTGCTCCCTCCCGTCTGTGCCCTGGTCTCTTTCTCTGTGTCTCTACATCCTTCCCTGTCTCTTCTGTCATCCTGCGTCTCTCTTGTGCCACCCCACATCGTCCTCTCTCTATGTCACATGTCCCTGTCTGTCTCTCCCTGTGTCTCTGTCTTACCCTGTGTCTCTCCCTCTCTCCCTGCCTCCCTCCGCCTGAACTTCTGGCTCTTTCTCTAGGCACCTCTTCTTTCCCTCTGTTTCTGTCTCACCAGGATGCCCTCCTCCTCCTTCCCTCCTTCTTCACCACACCATCGCTTTCCCCCCAGGACATTCTCAGGGCTCTCCCAGGACCCTGACTCACACATCCCTGCCAGGCAGGTCTGGCCTGGAACCGATTCCTGCCCTTCCAGCACAGCCCTGGTTGGGGGGGGGGGGGTCAGGCTGAGGCTGGAGGGCTGGACGCATGCGGAGGCTCCACTCACCTGTGCATTCCAGGCATCAACATTTATGAGCCAGCACCCCCTACTGGTCCCACCCAGCAGCCCCTGGAGACTCTGGGTAAGAGCTTGGCGGCTGGGCCCGTGGGGCGGGAGTGGTCCTGCGGGATGGGCATGTTCTAACCCTTCGCTCCTCCACCTGCCAGGCAACTTCCGCGGGTGGTACATTGGAACTGAGAAGCTCCAGCAGAACCTCAGGTGAGTGGCCAGGGCCCCCGGGGTGGCCTGCGTTTGTTTCCCAGGCTCCAGCCTCTCACCGCAGGGCCTAGAGGAACTGCCTGTGTGCCCCTCTGGGCCTCAGTTTCCTGCTCTGCACACAGGGTTTGTCATAAAAGAGAATGCTCGTAAAACACAGCACAGGGTCTGGCTGGGTCCAGCTTGCGTATGGCAGGTGCTCAATAAATAGCAGCTATGACCGTCACTCTACCTCTTTTCCTGGGAAGGGGAGTCGCCCAGGCCACCACCTACCTCCACTAAACCGAGCCCGCTGGGTGGGATGGGGTAACTTGGGGGCTCAGGGTCACACAGCCTGGCCTGGGAGCCCAGCTCTGCTACTTCCTTGCTGCTTGAGCTTGGGCAAGTGACGTCCCTTCCTGAGCATCTGTTTCTCTTCTGCATCGTGGGGTTCAGCAAGTCTGGCCCTCAGAGGGAAACGGAAGAAGCTGAGGCTATAAAACGTGGGGAGACAGTGCTCAGAGCCCGTACACGGGCGCCCCATGAGGTCTCCACAGGGGCATGGTGATCGAGGTTTCCAGCTCGCAAGGATCCCAGCAGGTCCCAGACCTCAGCTCCCCGTGCCCTCTCTCCAGCTGGACCGTGAAGCAGCAGTGTGTGGACCTTCTGGCCGAGGGCCTGTGGGAGGAGCTCCTTGATGACGAACAGCCAGACATCACGGTCATGGACTGGTAGGCGCGCCCCAGACGGGTGACACCCAGGGCTCCCCAGAGCCCCAGCCTCACCTGTCCTCCCCTGGGTGAGCCTGTCACCAGGACCCTCATGCCATCCCAGGATCCAACCCTGCCTACCGTCCTAGCCCCTTCCCTCTGAGACTTCCGGAGATGGGCCAGGCTGCACACCGTTCCTTCTTCCTTAGATGCTTGTCACCCTCTGTCCTCGACGCGAATTCCTCCTTAGGCTTTAGGATTCAGCTACCCATGGCTCCACCAGGAAGCCTTCCCTGACCACCCCCAAGCTGAGTCAGATGCATTATGCTCCAGTGCCCTGCACTCCCCCCATCCCAGCCCTTAGCATTCCTGGATGGTCACTGTCTGGTGACCGGTCTGCCTCCCGCACCAGACTCTGTCTCCCACGAGGACACTGTGCGGGGCTGTCCCCGGTCGGTGCTGTGTTGCCAGTACGACCCAGCCAGGAGGACTCACAGTGGGAGCCAGCAAGTGTGTGTTGTGTGGCGTCCAGGGCCAGGGGTTGAGGTTGGGACACTGGAGCTGCAGTGGCAGCTGAAGACCCGGGCCCCACCGCCAGGTACGAGGACAGCCGGCTGGACACGTGTGTCTATGAGCTGCACGTCTGGCTGCTGGCAGCGGACCGCCGCACGGTCATCGCGCAGCACCACGTGGCCCCCCGGACCTCTGGGAGAGGCCCCCCCGGCCGCTGGCTCCAGGTGAGGCTCTGTCCTGGCTGCTGACCCGGGCCATGTTTTTGTGTCCCAAGACCTCAGAGAGGTTGGAGGTAGGAGAGAGGCTTCACAGGTCCCTGATAGGACTTCTCCCTAACCCTGGGCGCCGCCCTGTGCAGGTGTCCCACGTCTTCCGCCAGTATGGCCCCGGGGTGCGCTTCGTCCACTTCCTGCACAAGACCAAGAACCGGAGGGAGCCCGGTGGGCTGCGGCGGACAAGGGTGACCGACTCCTCCGTGTCTGTGCAGTTCAGGGAGTGACCGGCTGACTCCCCGCCTGTTCTGTCCCCTTGTCTCACTTATCCACTGCCTTGACACTTTCCTGATCCCTTAGCACTTCCCTGATCCCTTAGCACCTCCCTGCCCCTTTGCACCTCCCCGACCCCTTAGTATCTCCTTGTTCCCTCATCCTTTCTGACCTTTCAGCATCTCTTTCACCTCCCTGACCTTTAGAAGTCCCTAGCCCTTAGCACATCCTTGACCCTTGAGCTCTGTCCTGTTGTCTTAGCGCTTGCTTCCCCCCTCCCCCCACCATGCACCGCACCACCTGTTCCCTGAACGCCTCCATGACTTCCCAGCTCCTCTTTGGTCGCTGACCACCTCCTAGGCCCCTGACTCCTGCCTGGCCCTTGACTTCCCACTTGGCGTCTTCATGGACCCTGGAATGTCTCGGACTCTTTGGCATTTCTTCTGCACTGTCTGAGCTCCATGCGGGCTGAAGGCAGAGGAGTTAGTGCTCAACAGAGAGTGGGTGCTCCAGAAGTCTTTGCTGATGGATGAATAAATTCACGTCCACAAGGATGCTGAGTATTTCCCTGGTCTTTGCTTCTCAGAATGACACCAAGTTCATAGCCCACTCGTACCTCCTGGAATTTTTATCCTCCAGGACCTCACAACCCCTGTGCCTTTTGCACCTCCCTCGACCTCTGATCTTTTCACCTATCCCAGTTTACAGCTTCTTGGCATCTCCACTTACCTCTCCTCTCATATCTTGGTATCTTGTCCTCTCAGATGCTCCTCACGTGCCCCTTCCCTCTCCAACCCCAAATTTTCACCCTCCCTAGAGCTGACCCCCAACCTCTCCCCTCCATAAGACCTTCATTTCTCCTCCCTCGTTCCTCCGGAGTCCCCAGAGCCATGAAGGTATCCATCAATGTCCATCAGATTGTAGATTTGAGCTAAAAAATTTCTTTCATGTGTTGATGAAAGAGGAATTGAAAGTCTTTAACAACCCCTAGTCCCAGGCTCTGGCCAGATCAAGCAAGAGACCCTGGTCTTAGCTTGGGGTAGGGTCCTTGAAGGCCTCTCACTGTTGCATGCATGAATCCCGAGGGAGTCTGGAGGTCCCTGGCAAGCCAGAACAGCTGGGGGCATTCGGGGAAAGGCAAAAAATGCAGGAAGCATTTTAATGTTTAACAATCAGCCGATGGTATCTATACATGTCACACGTGCCCTATGGATGTGTGTCTTCGCGTGCACCTAAACCATGGCAGGACCTATGAGAAGGTCCCCACCTACAGCATTATCCCAGGTATGAGCTGATGCAGGCCTGACCACCCTGCTCTCTCCCCCATCCCACCCCTGTCCGGTGTGGACCTGGGTCCCAAGCACGAGTAGATGGCAGGCAGGGATACATTCACAAGGGCTATATTGTGGGAAAGGCAGGGTGGGGAGCAGGCAGGAAGTTCTTTCCTCCTGGGACTTGGGGTCTTCAGCAGACCCCAGGACAAGGTCAGGTGAGGGGCTCTGCACTCTCTGGGGGTTGGAGATGAAGTGTCTCTAACACATCAGTAACATCTGCAACAAAATAAAAAATTATCACCAGGGGGGCACCTGGGGCTCAGAGGTGGGGTGGGGTGTTTCTAAAAGCCTGAGATGGGGCAGGGGGCTGGGGCTGGGCTCCGAGTTCAGGAGCTGGGCATCCCAGGGGCTCTTGGAGCTCTTGTGGGGGAGAGGGACAGACGGCATGGTCTTGGAGAGCGCTAGGGCCAGATCTAGTCCCAGGGTCTGTGAGCTTCCAGAGGCGAGTCCGCAGTGGGCTCAGGGGCCCCCAGAGTTGGATTGGGGGTGGCGAGGAGGGGGCCCCAGAACCTTAACAGGGGCTTTGGGAATGGTTTCCGGGCTGAGTCTGATCTAGAGGGTCTAGGTGGGTGGGGAGCATGAGAGTAGATAGGGTGTTCCTAGAACCGGGTCTGGGGTTGTTGGGGTGGGTCGGGTTCGAATCTGGGAGTCCTAAAGTTGCATCTGAGAACTCCAGGATCTCATGATCTGGGGGTGGGACCACTGGCTTTGGTTGGCTGGGGGTTCTGGAGTGAGAGGATAGATAGCTCCCCATCTGCAAGCTAGGCCTAGGACGCAGGGTCAGTGGGTGGGCAGGTGCAGGATTCAGGAAGGCGGGAGGCAGGTGCTCCCAGAATGGAGGCTAGGGGGGGTGACCAGCTTCTGAGTCTGGGAATCCCCGAGTGGGGTCCGAGAGAGATGGATGGGCCTGGGCTTGGGTGGGGGGTGCGGGGAGGGGAAGGGGGATCCAGGGACTCCCAGCGGGGGTGGGGGCCGAGGGGCCGCGGGCGGAGGCGGGGCCGGGGGGCACCTGCAGTAGAGGGACGCGATGGTGTTGGACCAGTCGCCGAAGATGCCCTTGCGGAACTCCTCGAGGCGCGGGTAGGCGCCGGTGGAGAACTTGTGCGTCTTGCCCGCCTTGCCGCGTAGGGACCACACGGTGATCTCGCAGCGCGGGGCCACCACGAGCGACGAGGCGACGTTGGCCCAGTTGGAGGGCAGGAAGGGCAGGTCGGTGTCGGGCTCCAGCGACAGCTCGGCGCCGCCGCAGCAGTTCTCGTAGTAGGGGTCGCTCTTGTCGTAGAGCTTGGCGCACGTGCGCGTCCCGTCCGGCCTCTTGAGGTCCGCGGGCGCGGGGCAGGCCGCCCGGACGCCGGGGACGGCCGCCAGGGCCAGGGCCAGCAGCACGGGGCACAGCGGCGACATGGCACACTGCGGGGCCGCGTCCCCAAGCGCTTTTATGCGCCCGACCCGTGGGAAGGGAGAAGCTGCGAGATAAGGACGCCCTCCCCCACCCCGGCCCCACCCCCACCTCGGAGCGGGGAGACCTTCCTGACCTAGGTCACCCGATGAACACAACCTGGACCCACTTGTGGACGACTCGGCAGCTTAAGATTTCCCGTGGCAAACAACATCATTAACTAACTAACTAACTAACTAATAATAACTAATAAATAAATAAATAAATGAATAAATAAATAAATAAAAAACTACACACACACCTCAATTAACAGGACTGGAGGACGAGTCTCTTGTAATCCAGAGGGCAGCATAGGGTTAATAGGTACACGCAGGAAGAGCCCTTAAAAACCTTTGAGGATTGGAACAACCCACTTTCCAAATAAGGAGAAGCCAATGCAGGTGGGAGGGGGGGGTGCTGGGTCTCCAGGCTGGGCAAGTCCCCTTCTCAGGAGGGACTTTGGACCTTGGGAAAGGAGAAGCTGGAGATAAGGAGAGAGGCCCTGGAAGGGAAGGGAGAGGAGGGGAGGAGATAAAGAGAGATCTCACTCCCTGGGGGAGCAGGGGAGCTTCCCAACCAGGGTTGGAAACCCAGAATCTGTGAAATAGACATACTTACGATGAAATAGCACAACACTTAAAAACCATTGCAAGGCAGTGGGGGGAAATTGGGGGGAAGAATTGCAACACTTAAGACAGCATAGAGCTATTAGCTATAATATATAAAGAGTGCTTACAAATTGGCAAGAAGATATCAAACAACCCCCCCCACACACACACACACAGCCCCCAAGAAAACAAGCCTTGTAAGTGGGGGGTGAGGGAAGAAAGAAGAGGCTGTGGTGCCCTACTCCCACTTTCCAGGAGCTAGGGGATTTTCTTTCTTTCTATTTTTAAGATTTTATTTATTCATGAGAGACACAGAGAGAGAGAGGCAGAGACATAGGCAGAGGGAGAAGCAGGTGCCTCACAGGGAGCCTGATGTGGGGCTCGATCCCGGAACCCTGGGATCGTGCCCTGGGCCAAAGGCAGAGACTCAACTGCTGAGCGTCCCCTGAGGAGTCCCTCCAGGGGATTTTCTTAACAAAGATTGGAAATCTTAAATTTATAAAATAAACAGAGGACCCATAGAACTGTATAAAATGTCAATCTTTTGTACAGCAACAAACACAGACTAAACAAAAACCTAATCTGGGGAAAAATAGACGATGCTTGTAACATTCAATAAGCAGTTACCAGTCAGCAAGCGGAAATGACACAAGCCAAAGGAAAAATCGAGGAGCAGCCCAGGCAGGGTAGAGAAGCCACCCTGGGACGGGGATCTGGGCATCCGGGAGCCTGGCCAAGGCCCGTTGGAGACTCTGGAGTTCCTGGCCTCCTGCCAGTTGAGAACAGGGTCAAGAATTGGTGAATGGATCCAACAGTGGTTCAAGTCTGTGGCTCCGGGGCAGCCCCAGTGGCCCAGCGGTTTGGCGCCCACCTTTGGCCCAGGGCGTGATCCTGGAGACCCGGGATGGAGTCCCGCATCGGGCTCCCTGGATGGAGCCTGCTTGTCTCTCTCTCTCTCTCTCATGAATAAATAAATAAAATCTTTAAAAAAAAAAGTCTGTGGCTCTGTGGGTAAAGCCGATTCCAGGCCTCCGCTTCCCCATCTGTAAAATGGGTGATATTTCTTCCTATAGTATAGGGTTGTTATGAAGATTACAAGGGGGGGATCCCTGGGTGGCTCAGCGGTTTAACACCTGCCTTTGGCCCAGGGCGCGATCCTGGAGCCCCAGGATCAAGTCCCACATCGGGCTCCCTGGTTGGAGCCTGCCTCTCCCACTTCCTGTGTCTCTGCCTCTCTCTCTCTCTCTCTCTCTCTCTCTCTCTCTCCCTCTCATAAATAAATAAAATCTTAAAAAAAAAGAATTACTTAAAAAAAAAGATTACAAGGGATAATAGAAAGTACGGGGGGGGGGGGAAGGACGGGGGAGGGGGAGAGGGTGGTAAAGGAAGGCATGGCCTCCTTGAGCTGTCTACACCTGATTCCATCTCGGGATGCTGGTATAAGGGGCAAATGAGTTAATCCACATGACAGCACTCATCGTAGGGCCCTTGCCCGGGGCCGTGTGAGCATTTGCCATCACTGTTGTTGTGACAGCCCTTAGCATGGTGCCTGGCACACAATAAAAGAGCTCAATAAACATAAAGCAGCACAACACAAGATCGGCAACAATCTGCTGTTACCTCAACCACTCAGCGAACCCTGTCACCTCCGCCTCCCCCAGATGCTGCCTCCCACCTTGGTAATGCAGTAGTGAAGGGCCAAAGGCTGGAAACACTTGGAAGTAGGTTCAAATTCTGACTCTGTCACCTTGTTGAGTGACCTTGGGTAAGTGAACTCACTTCTCTGAGCTTCAGGCTCCTCCTGCCTTTAATGGGAATAACAGAAAATCACAATAGAAAGTTATTATATAAGGAAATCTATAACTGGGGCGCCTGGGTGACTCAGTTGGTTAAGTGTGTGACTTCGGCTCAGGTCATGATATCGGGGGTCCTGGGATCAAGCCCCTGCATTGGGCTCCCTACTCAGCAGGGAGTCTGCTTGAAGATCTCTCTCTCCTCTCCCTCTGCCCCTCCCCCCACTCTCTCTCTCAAATAAAATCTTTTTAAAAAGAGATCTATAAGTGACATAACAAACTATTATTCATAAACATTAGAAACAATCTACATCATTGTTATTTATAAAATTAAATACTTAATATTTAATAGTGAATGAAAACAGTATCGATATAAATACAAAAATCACCAAGTACAGTGCCTGGCTCATGGAAGATCCTCGTGAACATGAGCTGTTAGGACTGTTCTATGATTCTGAGACCCTGGATCCTGGCCTGGCCCTGTCCCAGACCAGACCTGGATCCTTCTCTCTCCTTTCCTCTGTTGAGCCCATGAAATCTAATCTCCAGCCGCTAACTTCCCAGCCGGCCTCCTTGACCTCAGGCACACAGAGTCCCCACCTTCCCAGCTCTGCGTGCCCTGGACGCAGGGATGGAGACAGGTGAGTGTAGTGCGGCTGAAAAGCGCCATGCGTCAGACACTGTGGAAACACGGGACATCTAGGAGACCTTGGTAGGGAGAAGACCCGGGGACAGGAGCACAGGACCCCGGGGGGCCACAGCACACAGCCACCATCAGAGAGAACCTACAGGGACGCAGGGTGAGCGCACAGCATCCCCAATCCAGGGACACATACATGGGCAGGGGGGTAGGGACACCCTGTGACATGGTCACCCACTCATGGTCACAGAGTCTCACTCGTGAGTCCTCGAGAACAGCATGTACTGAGTGTAGACACATGCTTGGTACACAGTCCAAAAGAAACACGGTCCCAGACAGTGCGCCCCCCACCCCCAACGGAAACACACTCACAGTCACCAACAGGCCCCCAGCCCTCCTACCTACACCCCATGAAATCTCAAAAGCACAAAACCCCAAACACAAATCTGTCACGCTAGAGTGAGCACCCACAAGGCATCTTCGTCCAGAAGCAATTTCCTTACTGTTGATTAACACAAAGTGGGCAAATAGTAGAAAAATAAACATCTCCTTTTTTTTTTTTGCATTTTTTTTCTTCAAAAAATGGAAGAATGTCCTGCCCTTGAGGAACCCATGAGCCCTTGAGAAAGTCAGACGGTAAATCAATAACTCGAACACAATGTGAAAAGAGTTAAAACGGGCATTGCCAAGGCCTCTGGGAATACAGTGGGAAGAATAGCAGGGTTTTTTTTTAATATCCGCTGATATATTTTGATTTGTATAATAAAGCAAAAGTGTTCTTTTCAGATTGCACAAGCTTAATTCCACATTTTTTTTTCACAAGACCATAAAAAAGGAGATCGGTCTGCACATGAAATTGCCACTAGCAGAAAAAGAAAGTATTCGTCTCAATCAGGGTAGTACTCGCAGATAAACAACACTCTAGGTGGCACATGGTTTAAATGAAAATACTGTCACATAAATACAGGAAAATAGCTCAGTACTTAAGTTCACACTGGATCATGGGAACTCACTACACTTCCGCATGGACGCGGCCTGAATGCGATTCTTTCTATATAATCCTGAAGGGAGAACATGCCCCCCCACCAAAGCAGCCACAACTGTGTGGTTTGCAAATAGTGATCCTAGAAGTGTGGTCTCTGGATCAATGGCATTGACATCCTCAGGGACTTGTAAGAAATGCAAATTCTCAGCCTCACCCAAGTTGTGTGAATCAGACTCTAGGAGTGGGGCCCAACTATCTGAGTTTTTTTTTTTTTTTTAAGATTGTATTTATTTATCCATGAGAGAGGCAGAGACACAGGCAGAGGGAGAAGCAGGCTCCGTGCCGGGATCCCGACGTGGGACTCGATCCTGGGTCTCCAGGATCACGCCCTGGGCTGAAGGTGGCGCTAAACCAATGAGCCACCCCGGCTGCTCCTATCTGAGTTTTAAATGCCCTCCTGGGGATTCAATGCCTGCTGGAGTTTGAGAACCACTGGGTCAAGGCTTTGGCCTTCTGAGGTTTCCTCTCTGATTGTTTATTGCATCTAGAATTTTCTGTATTGGCACCTCAATTTGCTCAGCTCCCATAAAATGTGTTTCATGTCATTTCCCTGATTTTATTTTATTTTTTAAAAAGATTTTATTTATTTATTCATGAGAGACATACAGAGAGAGAGACATGGGCAGAAGGAGAAGCAGGCTCCATGCAGGGAGCCTGATATGGGACTGGGACTCGATCTCAGGACCTGGGGATCAGGCCCTGAGCCAAAAGCAGGCGGTGAGCCACCCAGGTGCCCCCATTTTCCTGATTAAAAAAAATTCTATTAGCAATAGAAAAAGGGACATGTCTTGGGGGGGCAGGTGGAGCCTCGATTGTCAGTGTCTGGAACCCAAATGCCCCAAATGAGCTTGACTCTTCTCTGACACAAAGCGCCAGTCATCATCTGACCTTGGGATGCGGCTGAAGACCGGTATCTCAGATACACCTGCCCCAGGTGAGGTGCCTCGTTTCCAGGACCTCCCCGGGTCCCGTGGGCCCCTATGGGTCTGGGCCACAGCTACTGCCCCCTCACTCCCCGCAAATCAGGGGCGGGGAGGGCCTTGTTAAGATACAGATGCAGGTGCAACAGGTCTGGGGGAAGGATCTGGTTCTGCATTTC